CAAAATCTAGCCGATACGTCACACATCTCTTTGGGATTATTGCTGGCATAAGGGCTATATATTTGTCATAACGTAAAACCCTAGGTACTTTATTCCAAAATTAAGTTGGAAGATTCCAGCCCAGACAGAATTTCTATTTTTTGTCGTGACCTTAGATATTTGCTAGTGAGGGGCTTTGCCATTCTCATTGTAATGGTAGAGAGTACAATACTCAGTAACAGTAGAATTGACGGGTGTGTGCGTATTTCAAGAGGTGGGAAGAGAAGCCCTGGCAAAGTGAATATAAGAAGCACGCCGCTTTCGCCAAATTCGGCCGGACTTGTCCCTGTATCCCTCCGCCCACGTCGCGCGGCCAGACGCGGTCGTGGTCGAGGACGGCGGCGGAGCGCAAAGTGCGCTTGGCCACGGGGCGGGAGGGCCGCCTTTTGCAATATCCCCAAACGAGCCCCTCGGTCCGCATGAGCATATGATCTGTGTCTCCGGCTCGGTTGTCAGCGGTCTCTCGCGAGCGCCGCAGCCGGGGCGTGATGTCGCGCGGGGGAGGGGCGGGCGCGTGCGCGGGTATGTAGTGGTGTGGGAGAAAGGAGGCGGGGCCGGCACTAGACATGGGTCGTTTTCATGACGGCCTCACCGCTGCGTGGCCGTTCACTCGCGGCAGCGAGGGCCGCCGCGCGAACGCAAACGGCACGGCCGGGTCATGGAGGGGACGGCGAGGACAAGGTCCATCACTTGGGGACGAAAAAGGCGGCAGCGGGGAGCGGCCGAAAGCTCGGGGGGCGGGCGGTCGCTGGTTTCGTCGCAAATGAGGCGGGGAGAAGTCTGGGGGAGTCGGTGCAGGCCACACCAGGATGGACCAGGGCAAACAGGGGCAAACCGTTCCGGGAAAAGAGGAACAGGCAGCACACAGAGGGCAAGCAGGATTGAACAGGTGGTACGGCGGGAGGGAGATTGGGTGGGGGTGAGGGTGGGGTGGAGTGGGGGCGTGACGGGTTGGCCGGTCGTGATGACAGGTGGGTGGGCCGACAGCAGGGGAATGGGGTGGTGTGGGTAAGCCGGTGGGCATATATATATTATAGGGAGGAAGATGCGTGTGTGTGCTCGCGCGTGTGTGCGTGTGGAGTAATGTTTCAGTTTGATGACACCAAACATATTCAAAATAAGATCTACTATTGGCCTGCAGTAAGCAAAATGCGAAACAACAAAACGGCAGAAAATGATTTTCCAAAAAGTAGGACGCACACTCCTCAAGGAGAACAAATAAAAAACTCGGGTAACATTGCAATAATTTAAATATTTTAACAAAAAGTCTTCACAAATACTGCAATACCTTAGTATCCTGTATAGTATACAGTTCAACAGATCTATTCATACAAAGAATTTCGAAAAAAGTTGCTGTATCATATCACCACACGTGAATAGCAAATATTTAATGATGGGCAGCCTCATCCTTGGAGCCTTGCTGACGCATGTTTCATAAGTCAGTGGCGGATCCAGAGGAGGGTCATGGCCCCTTCCAAAGGGCCTAGAGTATTCGTTTGTTACCCACCTTGACAATATGTAAATAATATTCAATATAACAACAAATTCTATGTTTATTATTTAACAAAAATCTACACGGCCCCCTCCAAAATAGTCGGCTGGATCCGCCCCTGTCATAAGTAACGTCAGCCGTTTCGTAAGCAGTTATCCGTATGTTTCTAGATATCCATTTGAGAATAAGAGGAATAACACTATGAAATATTTATATTTTTGAAAAGAAATGAAACTTTAATTGATTTTAATTTTTTCTTTAGATTCCTGATATCTAACGAAATCACAGACATCACATGACCGAATGCTGCATAGTTTTCTTTTGATTTCTGCGCGCATTGGAAATTAATATTATAGGTTGTCACGTGCACACGCCACCTACTTCTACAGCAAGTGCTTCAACGCAAACACCCATTACCTTCGAACAGTCATCAGTTTCGTCGTTATTTTAGAGTAAGGGTTCAGGTTAATTAGTGTCAAAAATATTCAACGTAGAACTGACTTCATCTTGATTGTAAATAAATAAGCAATGCAAATATGTAAACTATAACAAAGATATATCAGTATCCTTCGTAAATATATTTGGTTAACAGCCAACATTTAGTAGGTACGTTGCAAAGAAAGTGGTTCACGTTTTTTATTCGTGGAATGTAAGAATTCAATCAGATTGGCGCGCCGTGCTAATTTGATTCCATCTGCAGGCTCCCGAAGCCGTTTCGTTTGGGGAGTACAGGTTTCGCGTTTGTACTTATTAAATCCCTACGCGTGGGGGTAATTATCCTGTATCACGAGCGAGTGGTTGGCTCTCGAAGAACTGATTGGTGGAATTGCAATGTGCCTCAGCATGGCTGTGGGATATATTCTCTTCAAACATAATTTGGTCGTTTTTAGACCTTTACGATAAATTTATTAGCGATCGGGTTCTTTGTTTTTTAATTAACTATCGTCATCACTTTTATTTAACTTGCACTGTGCAAATTGTAAATTACCAAATGTTGCTATGTCAGTATTTGTGTTTCTTACTTACAATAAGTTAGACTTATGAAACATGGAGGACGTACAAAATATAACTTCGACCTTAAATCTTGTTTGAGGGGTGACACGTGTATATCTCCCTTGCAAATGTAAGAAAATTGAGGTCCGAGTCCCGAGTCGAAAATTACGTCACGTCTAAGTTGGATTCATTGCGCGTGTGTAGTAAATCTGAAGGATACTTTTCCTGAGAGAGGGGGAGATACTACAGAAGCCTATTTAATATGTATTGTCGTAGACGGTTAACGTAATACAAAATATTTCATCTTAATTCATATAATTTCTGGATAGGACAGTAGAATCTAAATTTAAAAGAAAAAGGATACGTTTACATTACATATAGGAACTTCGGAGATATTTTGTGAAATGATGGTAGACCACCAATGGTAGATGAAAAAATATCGGAGAATCCCCACTAAATCGGAGGGTAACTACGTGTGTCCGTCTCTGGTTTATATCTAGCGATTGGCGGAGGCATGAGGGTTAGCAGCCAGCAGTAAAGTCCCCTCGATAGAGGGAGCAGCGCAGCCGCCTCCATTTAATATCGTCACACCCGCTAGCCCCATCGAGCAGTGAGGAGTCGAAGTACTTTATTTAGGTACACAAGCCAGCAGCTCATGAGAGCGCCCACCGGGGCAACGGCCGTTGGACGGCGCGGTGGCGGGGCCGACCTCCGCCGCACTCCCGCCCTCTCCCTTCCACGCCCCCTCCACGCTTCTATACCCCCCTCCCTTCCATCGCACGCGAGCTGGGAGATGGGGTGGGGGCAGGTACGTTCGCCGCCGCGCCTCACTCTCGCACGTTCGTGCACGTGCGCGGGCGGTGCAGATGGGTGCGGCGTGGCGCGCTCACGCGTCGGTCGCTTGCTGCTTCGCGTCGCTTCCTTCCCAGTGGCTAATCGCTTCCAATTCACTCCAAATTGTGCAGCGCTGCGTTGACAGCGCCTCAAGTGGCGGTGTCACCCAGTACCGATGATGGCAGTGGAATCGGGATGAGGAAGGAAGGATCGCGCGTTGTCGATGGCCCGAGACACTGCTCCTGCACCCGCCAACAAGGGTTGAACATGTGTATGATGAATGTTACGTGATCAACACGCTACTACATATACTTCTTAACATGTCAGCAGAACTTTTATTGACAAGGTAGATGATTCAGATGAACTTGTATTTGAATTATAGGAACGTTATGCTATTTTTATGATTTTAGTGACATGCTACATTACGATCGCGTTGATGCTACATTAAAACATCACCTTAGGGCTCACCAATGGTTCCACCAAACATTGACTGTTCATTCTAGTGGCCGCTTGAACAACGTTATGGGGTTACGGGTCGCTTAAGACTAATTGCTATAAAAATGTATATTCTCTTCAATATTTGTAATTGCTTTAATGAAAAATACAATTTAAACAATGTATTTGGAATCATTTGCCAGCTCTTGGCCAATATCAAATCATTCTTGACTTGTTACTCGATATCTTAGTCAAGAAACTCACATCCCGTCCTTGCCGAATCAAAGAAGTAAACTTGAAGATGTATTTCATATCCCGCAGTAACTACAGAGGGGTAGTCTGTCGAAAGACTTGACGAATGACTTTTAGATGAGGTATAGTTGGATTTATTTAGAGCTGCCTATGACGTAAATCAGCTGTTGCGGTGTCATCCAATCAGAAGTTTGAACGTCTCCATAGTGACGTCACTTGTGACGTTAAGCTCCCGATTGGATGACACCGTAACATGTCTGAGCAACACCTACTAATACTAGTACTAGTAGGTTTTAGTCATGCTATATGTGACATGTTCCGCTAGACATAAAAAGATTGCCAAAGAAGGGAAGCACTAGTTACCAAACCGTGCTTCTCTTCTTTCCTTTCATCTAGGAGTGTTGTGAAATGTGAGAAACAATCATGTAGTTTCATCGAGAAATGCGTATTAAAATCCTCTATTGTTACTTGAAAGATGCAATCCCCCTGCGAGGAAAGTGACTGGAGTCATTTTTCGAAATAATCTGATGGCGCGTCGGGTCGTAAGACAGTAATCTCCACCTCTTTTCGGCATATTGTTATAATACAGTTCAAAGACGCTTGAGGTGGCCGTTTAATGAAGGTCAATCTACGAAATGTGCCTGTCTGCTTGCCATTTAGTCAGGTGGTCGCTGAATAAGGTACATTTATTCGTGTAAAACTTAATCGCTTCCAAGAAAAAATGTCCGTAAGTGGAGGTGGTCGCGTCAGCGGGTTTCATTGTATTTTGTATTGGACTGCATCCCTGGAGCAACTGAACTTCTCTAATCATCTCCTTATAAGTCGCGCTTATCTCCCATCTAACTGTCTTATTTCACATTATGTTCCTTAAATTTGGGCGCACCAAAATAGCCTCAAATAAGTCCATTACATCTTCGTTTGATCATTGCATTTTACGTAAATCTCGAATACAGAAATGGTAATTGGAAGTACTGCTATTGTTTTGCATATTCAAGATCTTGTCCGAAGTTTAGTCGAAAACACTCGAACGAACGATGTTACATGTTTTTGTTAAATGCTAAGTAATGGAAAATGGCTGAGAAAAGATTCCTCACTTTTTGGGGGTTTGCAAGGCATGTCAAAGCAACCCTTCAGAACAGTTTTGAGTGATTTACTGTAATGAAACGTGAAAGTTTCTCGTGACACGGGTCAGTGTGTATCGTGGGAATTGCTTGCGCGGTGCTGCTGGGGGGGAGGGCAATTGGGATGCCTCAGCCGATATGTATTTGAAATAAATATGAAACAAACATTGCTAGCCTTCGTTCTCCCGCTCCCAACTTACGCAGTTGGATGCCGTGTTAGTTAGAATTTATTTCATATAGTATAGTATTTAAAATTGGTATATTCATATACTAGTATAGCATACAGTAGTATAGTATATTTCATATAGTATAATATAAGTTAGTATTTCAAAGTATATTATTTCATATTTCATTTTATTATTATTTATTACATGTATATTTACGTTATTTAATTTTAAATTGTTATTTAATTGTGTTAAATGTGAAACCCAACGAACTCGAATATACTACGTAAAGTGGCTGAAGCGCCTCCATATTTGAAGCAAATTGGAGCCATGTTTTTTGCAGTCAAATCAGCGCCCTCTGGGAAACAAAGAATTCTAGCATTACGTTTGGCGCTGGTTACGGACGGGTGAGTGCGTGCCGCGCGTAATATAAATCCTCGTATTGTGTGTGGTCACGATCAAAAACCAAACCAATCACGGAATGACAATATTTTAGGAGAACGAATTGAGAAACTTTAAATGCATGTTGCTTCCTGCATCAATTATTGCCATAAGAATGGAAGCTATTGAAATGTTATTGTAGCTAGCATAAAACCTGAAAGTGGATGTTATTGCAATACCATTAAACGAAAAACAATTAAGAAATAAGTTGTGATACGAACAACACCGCAGTAGATTCAATATAGCAGTTGAATACACCGCCACTCGTATATTTTGACTTAAAAAAACATGGCGGCCACCAGTTCCGCGAGCCTCCACCAAGAGCGCTGAAACTATAAGGACAGCCACTCTATGTAGTATATTCTAGCTCGTTAATGAAAACTACTTGATGAACCCTCATTGTCGGTTGTTGTAACGCCGCATTCATAACAAGGCGATAATTACGACTGCCTTTCGTTACAAATGCATGACTGAGATGTGTTAATTCTAAGAGAAATTGTAGTATCAGTAGCAGTACATAACCATTACTAAAGGCTAGAAAGTACGTGCTGTTTTAGTACAACTAGTTTACACCTAATGCCCGAGAGCATACAAGTGACCATTCGCCGGAGAGCAGCCTACGATGGGGCAATAATTCGTTCGTCGATGTATTTACTTAATTAACTATTTGATTAGATTTATTTTCGTCACAGAACAGTAGAAGGTGTTTGTGACATATATAGCTGAAGTACAACAGTATCTCGATCATTTTTGTTATTTACACCGATTCTGGAAGCTCAAACTAGATTTGGTACTGTATTTGTCGTAATCAGTAAAGGTGCTGCCTTCCTTAAATGGAATGCGGGATGCGTAACTAAGGAATTAATTTAGCTTTCAGGCACCCCATAGTAAATAATAACAGATTTCATGCTTGTTAAGTTCACAAAATGAATCCTGGTGTTGCAAAATGTCAGGCATGAAATAGTAATGTTCAAACGTAAAGTAACGGATATTTACGAAACCAATAGTTTGCTCAGATCTTTAAAACAAATCACGTCAATAACAACACACGAGGAATTCGAAAACCAACTTTCGGGCTTCAGTTTTAATGCAACACTTTTCTTTAAACATATGTTCAAACTACAGTTAATGACGAACACCTGATGATATTTAATATACCAGAAAATTGGAAAGTATTTCTTGCAAAATGTTGCAAGAAATCTATTGCATTATTTAGAGATTAAAATAATCTGGACGTTTTCAAATCTTCACATTTTCTATGTGGGGGACTTTCCAATGTTTCTTTCCTACAAAATCTGTGGACTTCGCAAACTGGCACTGTGGATGTTTTTTTTAAACTGGCCGTGCATTCAAACTTCATGTCAAACTAGAAGTGCATTAAGATATTTGTTTCAATAATGAATGGCTCCGTATATGCGTGGAAGTAGTCCATTGTCATTAGAGGAGCAAGGTAATGAGATGCTGCAAAGTGGTGGCAAACCTACTCACAAAGATTCTGTCAGAGGATTCACACATGTCTAACTCTGCTAGCAAAGCAATTATGGTAGCCTACTTGAAACTTATGGGCACAGCAGTATAAAATATTAAATCCTAACAATTACAGAGTTACATGTTTACAGAGTGCTCATTTTCTTGGTCACCATAAAAGTCATTGTTACTTAAAATGAAGTTACATAATCACTATTAAATTACATTCAGAAATTAGTATCTTAATGGTGAGATCTCAACTAAAGTAATAAACCCAATTTATATGTGAATTTTTAAAATGTAAAATAGTCTAAAGGAAAAACCATTTATTATTTTTTTCAGGACCAGTATGATAACATTTCCCTCCACACACAAAAAGGCATAGACTTTCTTGAAAGGTATGGGCACTTCATCCGGGACCGATGTGCAATAGAAATGGAATATGCTGGCAAACTGAGGTAAGAAGAACTTGTAAATAATTTTTTAGCAATAAACAATTAAATAGAGGTCTGTAAAATTATTGAAAGTGTATAATCATAGAGGTTCAAAGAGCATAATTTTCCCGAACTAAAGTTGCCACCTCTTCGGGTTTCACTCGAGACTTCGGGTTTCGTGACCAATCTCCGGGCTCCGGGTTTACTACTTTCATCTCTGGGTCATGCACAATATTGAATGTACTACGCGTTCAAATGTTTCTGATTCTTAGATTTCAAGAATTTGCACGCATTTTCTGTATTTTTATTTTTTATTAAATATTGTTTTAGTTAATGAGATTCGTAGAAATAAATACAAATTGTTGGTGCTTTCTCTTTTTTATAAATTAAAAATAAAATATTAAATGCATTTACATATTTCTCCATGTTTTACTGGCTTACTATAGACACAGTTCTTGAATAGTAAATGCAAATATTAACGAAAATAAGTTGTACGATGAAATACAAGTAGTATAAAAAACTCTTTCCAAAATAGAAATTCAAGACCAAACGACAGACAATATATGGGTCAAATTTTTTTCTGCATCAGATTATTTTAAAGAATTACCCAAAATTGTTAGCAGGGTTTTGTCCCTTCCCGTAAGTAATGCTTTCGCAGAACAAATTTTCTCAATTATGGGAAACATTTGGTCCGATTTGAGAAACAGGATGAGAGTCAAATTAGTCTAAGCAGAACTCTACAAACTAAACTATGATATGCCTTGCGCCGGAATTTCACAAATTCATAAACAATAAGAAGCAAGTATGCTTACAAAAGGAAGCCGTTTCAAATGAGAAATATGCTTGGAAGAAAAGTTAGTTTTTTAAAATTAATATTACGCCGATTTCGCGAAAAAAGGCAGAGATTTTCTTTTCAAGAACAGTCCAATCCAAAAGTTAGTAAGCCGAATTTGCTTAAACAAAAGGAATAAGCTTCGATTACAACAGTAACATAGCCAACAGCATCAGTTGTACTTCTGGCGTGATTGTGATTAAATTTTTACGTCATTTTTCTTTGTTTTTAGAGCATTTTATTGATCATTTTTGGCAATGTCTTAGGTCATCAAAATCCGCCCCCATGTAATGAATTATAAAAATGACTATTTTATAATAAATATATGAATATTATAAATCAAATTTTAGACTATTTTAGATTCTGCCAAGCTTACAAATTTATATACCTACTTATCTTTTTCATTCTCAAATCTTAAACTCGCTGCATAATTTGTTCTTGCTATATAATTTCAGCTTATCCATTTGTATTCACTTTCTGTTTTTCAGGAGATTAGTTAAAAATTACCTGCCTAAGAAAAAGGAGGAAGATGATTATCAGTAAGTTATTCAAATGTATTGTTATGTTTTGAATCTTATTTAATTAAATAATTTTTAAATTGAAATACTATAAAACAAAGACATTGATGTGATTTGTTTTGGTAATTGCTATGATCTATTTACAGATATAGTCCATGTCGAGCATTCAAACATGTAATGACAGAAATCAATGATTTGGCTGGTCAACATGAAGTTATAGCTGAAAATCTTCAGTCCAATGTTATTAGGGAAGTTACTATTCTTGTTAAAGATATTAAGGAGGAAAGAAAAAAGGTAACTAGCTGTCCAATTATTGCTAAAACATTCACATTTTTCTATTATTTATTAATTTCTATTTTTTTGATTAATCTGTGAATCTAGCTGTCAGACTACAGATATATAAATGAAGGTTTTTTGTTTGTTTTTTCTCTTCATTATAAAATGAGATTGATCTAACATCAGTCAGAAGAATTAAGTCATAACAATTCATAAAAATACCAGGAAGAGATCATAGCATTTCCCCATTGTTCTCGAAGTTGCATTCAAAAGTCTTTTTACTTGTCTTTCTTTTAATAAAGATAATTTCCTTCATATAAAAAACAACTCTTCTCTTTCTCTCTCTTTTGCTCTCTCTTTCTCTCTCTCTCTCTTTTGCTCTCTCTTTCTTTCTCTCTCTTTTGCTCTCTCTCTCTCTCTCGCTCTCTTTCTCTCTCTCTCTCTTTTGCTCTCTCTTTCTCTCTCTCTCTCTTTTTTGCTCTCTCTTTCTCTCTCTCTTTTGCTCTCTCTTTCTCTCTCTCTCTTTTGCTCTCTCTTTCTCTTTCCCCCTCTCTTCCATGATAATTAATATTATATGAGAACACAATACTTCAATACCACCAAAACACGTTTTTCTAGAATTCTTCCAAAAGGGCCTATAAAGAAAAGGCTAAGAATTGTGCCAATCAAATTGTCTTGTCGACACCAATGGAATGAGCTAAAGATCACCTTTGTAGGTGATGCAAGACACCGAAAATGTGGTTTTAGTTGCATAAAAATTGCAAAAAGACATGTTTTTAGAGAAATTTCTTTGAAACTTTTAGATAGATCTGCAAAAAATTTATCGGTTTCTACACCAGGAGACTGAGGCACACTAAATGAAACCTTATTTGTTGTGATTGGTGGACTACACAGGATCTAACTGTGACTGATAGACGGAGGTTACTCAATTACTATATAAGGATTTGTTGAAATTTAAAGTTCATTGTTATCAAAAATAGTTCAGTAAATAATAAATAGTTATTATCTCATAATCTTTTATCACAATGGTGAAAAGATTTCAGTGATTGTTGCTTTTGGTAATATCCTTTACTATTACAAACAGATTAACAAAATTATCATGCCAAAAAGGCTAACTCATCACTGTTACCAGGCAAGTTGACTCATTGTTGCAATTCCAACCAATGGTACAATAATTTTCATAACATAACCATGGAAAGAGCTTTCTTTTCTCAAGAAGATAATTGTATTTTGTGAATTTTGCTTATTTACAGCACTTGCAGGAAGGAGCACGAATGACTGCAAATCTAGTTGCACAGATAGGGAACTTGGAGAGAGCACGTAAAAATTATGAGAAAGCCTTTAAAGAAGCAGACCGAGCTTTAGAAAATTATCAAAAAGCTGATGCAGATTATAACTTGTCACGAGCTGAAGTAGAGAAGCAGAGACTGAACATGGCTGTTAAATCACAACAGTGTGAAGACACCAAAAATGAATATGCGAACCAGCTGCAAAAAACGAATGACATGCAGGTACGTAGCAAACATTTCTGTTGGCATTGAAGGCATAATTAATGTCACTTTGAGATTTCACTTTATTGACTTACCAGCATTAGATATAACTAGTAGCAACAATGCTGCTAAACAGTACCACACAAAATTGTTTTCTAAAGTGTAGCACACATACTGCACAAGAATAAGAAATAGAATTACACTACAATAAATTAGATATTTTAATAAATGTAGTCTTGATGAATACTGCATTAGTATACTATATGTGCAGTATAACAGTTCTTTATATACCAAGCATTTCAAAAAAGTTTCTATTCCGAAACGCAATACATAAAAAAAGCAAATTTTCAAATGTGAGCAACCTCTTGGAGTTTTAATGACACATGACATCTGGAGTGTCATAAGCAGTGACACAATGAGTACGAGAATTCAGGCTGGGAGTAGGTGGAATAACAGAATCGCATATTTGCATTTCTCAGGCTATAATCGATACTGAGTTTTTGTTTTAGCATTTGTTAAGAGTTCCTGGGTATCTAACAGATACCTCTCTCTCACATGTCTGGAAACCGCATAGTTTTCTTATAATTTCTGTGTGCATTGGAAATTAGTTATAAAGGCTAGTTGCTGCAGCAGCAAAAATGCTGCTGAACAAAATCACACAATGGTTTTTCGAAAAGTAGCTCATACACTACTCAAAAACAAATATAGAATATTCAAACTCTTATGGAATATTTGATAATATAAGGATATCAAAAAAGTTTCTGCTCCATAAAAATACATATGAATAGAAAATATTTAATGGCAGGAGGCCTCATCTGTGGAAATTTGCTTTCACAAAAAATCAGATTTTTCTTAAGCAGTGTCAAACAGTATGAAATTTAACTTAGTACATGCTGTATAGTAGAATAACACAATCAAATATATCTGTTTTTAGTCAAAATCTAAACTGTTTCATTTCTTATGGATTTTCCTGAGAGTTCCTGGCATCTAAAGAAACCGTTTTGACTTTTCACACTGGAGGCCACATAATTTTCCATCAATTTCTGCACACATTAGAAATTAAGAATACATATTTTAACTGAATTCGTATATGCTGTGGTGATTCTCCCATTGATGTAACTGATACGTGTGTTGCGGGGTATCTTTCAGGCTTTGCATTATCGCTCACTCATGCCTGATGTCTTCAGACAGCTACAAGAAATGGATGAAAAGAGAATAAAGAATATAAAGAACTTCATGATACATTCTGTAGATATAGAACGAGATGTCTTTCCTATTATCAGCAAGTGTTTTGATGGAATTGTGAGAGCAGCAGAAGAAATTAACGAGAAGGAGGTACTTTCATTTTAATTTATTATTGGGTTGAATAATTGTGCTATGCCAAAAACTAACATTGTGGTGTGCAAACAGGACCACCATGTAAAGTTTTATTACTAATGTTTTTTCTCGAATACAAAAAATATATTGTCGTTCATTTTTCAAACAATGGATATGGACTCAAAATGGATAGATTATTTTATTTCTGATATCCAACCTACCATTTTCTTAGTACCAACTGACTACAGAAATTTGTCAGCAATTATCAGTTTTTAAACTACATTCTTTCAAAGACTAACATACAAAGTACATACTTACATTTTCTGAAATTTTCAACCAAAAACTGAGGTAGGTTTATATGCAAGGGAGCTTATATTCAAGAAAATATGGTTACTTATTCCAAAAATGTCCTTTTTTTAAATTTGTAATTTTTGGTTTTAGTAATGTTTTATGTTTAAATTGTCACAAATGTATCTAGGAGTTTCTGCAACTGATATGCATTTCATATAAGGGATCTTCAAAACATTTTATAGTTTTTGGTAGTAAGATTTACAACAATAAAAAAAATATCATAGAATTTTATATCTTACAGAAGTTCATGTTTGCTGGATAATACCTTGTTTGTACTCGAAAGATTTTTTTGGTTTAGTAATCCCCTTTTTCCATAGCTAGCACAACTTCATTGCATATCAAGAGTTGAGAAATGGGGTTAAAGGGAAAAGGCTTTCAGACTGACCTAAGTTTTGACTAAATCTCAGTTGTTTTTGTTTAGCCCCAATCTAATGTTTGTTTTCCAGGACACACAAATGGTTATAGACAGGTACAAATCTGGATTTCAACCTCCTGAAGACATTCCCTTTGAAGACTTGAGTGCCATTAAGTCTGGGGAAGTGCCACCTCCTGTGAATCATGTCCCTATTGCCCAGATGAGGCCAGCAGAAACTGTGAAGGGTACAATGTCTGCTGGGAAGCTCAAGAAGAGAGTGGGCATTTTTGGGATCTTCAGTTCGAATAAGGTATGTGCTCTTTTTATACTCACGTAATATTCAATGAATTTTTGAAAGATTTAGTATAATGTAGGTAGTGTTATAAATTAATTGCAATTTTTTGGAGATGAGTTCTTGCAATAGTACCAGAGGGAGGGGATTTTAGAAATATCATTATAGAAATACAAATTGTGAAATAAAGCGGTAAAAATTAAACACATTTTTGTTAATAATTTTCTGTGGACTCATAATTAGCACTTTTGCATGAGTGTTCTTACACGTGTCTCTAGATGACTTTTTTTTTTGTTGTTGTTTATAAGAATAAAATTTTGTTTGCATTTTGCACCAATATTTCAAAAATTATCGCTAAGCGTAAGGGCATGGCATATTCAAAACCCAGGTACTTAATTTAGTATCTCAGATTCTGATTAACAAATTTCATTACTCTGTCCCCAGTAGGATAGTAAGTGCTAAATGTATTATTTTTTGGTTCTGAGCAAGTGATGCATCTTTTGATGTCTATTACATACTTTATGAATCCTGAATGAGTATTCCCTTTCAGTGTTTATTTTTTTTTTCTTTCCATTGCATCTTAAAGTTTTCCAAATTGAAAATATATATTAGGGTAGGTAAATGGCTTTGCATTCAGTTGTAAATAACTTGATAAATTTTTAGAGGGAGATAGTTCATCTCTATTAAAATATTTGGTATATTTGCTTTTATTTCTCAAATAATTACAATAACAAATATATGTCTTTAATATTTATCTGAAATGATATACTATTTTATTGAATTATTTCAATATTCAACATTTACTTACCAAACTATTTTCACCTATGTAAATAAATTCACAAAGTTATAATTGGGATATATTTTTATTATAATAAGTAAAAGTTTTGAGGGTTATGGTTTAATTATTAGATCTGTGTTTTATTAAATTAGGTATCATAAAACAAATGTAAAAGGAAATTAGAACTTTTTGTGCATAAACATTTATTTTCACACCTTCTCATCTATTTCTAATACTTGTATTTCTCTGAAAACTATGTTTGAAATGTACAGTAATTCAGTGCTATGGACTGCATAAGGAATAAGTAGATTGAATTTAGTTAATTAACCATTAGTGTATTAATATAGTAGATTAAATCGAAGTATTGTACATAAATACATTTGTTGAAATAAGAATGTTGAAGTTATTCAATAACTTTTCTTTAATTTACTGTAAACTCTTCTATATTTACAATTATCAACCTTCTTTCACCCATATTTTACCTAGAAATCTGAATGAACAGTCACTGTTTTGTTCCTAGTGAATGGTATGGGGTTGTGGGGTACAAACATGTGTCATGGTTGTGGTAAGAAATTTCTTTTGTTTTCCTTTTCTCATTTTGTGACACACAAAACTAGCTAGATTCTAGTTCATTATGTTTTGAATTTTTATTTTCATTACTAGTGTTTTTATTTCTTTTATTAAGAATGGTGGTGTGGTACTGACAGAAGAATGCATCCTATTTATTTGATTAATTTTCTTTTTCTTCCTTCTCAATGGTTTAATTTTCGGTGCCCGGTTGCCTTGGATCCTGGCAATGCGTAAGTACCCTTTGAGAGGAGTTGTTTAGACTGCATGTTTGTGGCATCATGGCCTGTGTGCATTGTTATATTGCATGTTGCATGAGTATATTTGTTAGCATTCTGATCACACCTTCTAATTGTATAGATTTTGTTTTCTTATTTATCCAAAATGCATGAATGTACAGAACTTGGGATATAACCTTTTCACACCAGATGCACTAACTATACACTTTTAACGTCGTCTTTCTTTACAAACTTAATTAGAACATATCACGTTTCACACAACTGCCATGGTTACCTTTTATTTTTCTTCTCTGATGGTTTTTAAATTTACCTTTAATGCTTAATAGATTTTAAAAATTTAGTTTAAATAAATGTTTTTTCTCTCTTCTGGTGTGAATGGGTAATAACATACAATTTCTTATTAATATTTCTTACATAAACAGGTGATAAATATATTTGTTCGTTTTTAAGAAAGAAAGAAAGAAAGAAAAAAGAAAAAGAAAGAAAATTGGGCAAACGTTTGTCATATTCTGAATTTCCTACCAAAAAATGATTCAACCTGTGAAGTTAACTGGAAAGCTAAAAGAAGAAAAACGATTTACTGACTGTGAATGTACATTGTTGATTTTTGCGAGTCAATTTGATCACTGAAAATTAGCTTATTAATGATGTTCTTCTTTTAGGTTTCAAGTTTTAACAATGGTTGGTTTTCAAAATATAAAACAACAGTCATTGCAATGATTTGCTTGCTTTTCATTCATGTTGCACGTGTAGATAATTATTTGTATAATGGAATGTTCAAAATGGAGTTGCAGAGTGTTTGTGACTTGGTAGACATTTGAATACAAACTGTCCTTCCTTGTTTTTACATGCTTTCAGAAGTTGATTGAAGTGTGTATTAATTTGAAGGTAGGTTACCTTCATTTCACTGATAGACTGACAGTAATTGTTTGCTTTACATCACAGTACTGTGGTTGTCGGAGATGAATTAAAAATTAGTAGTTTCTTCTTGTACTCTGTGTAGCATTCATATCATATTTAGTAAAAATATTCTCATTTTTCTCTTGTTTGTACACAGAACTCTTGAAGTATATAAAATTACATGCAAATTGTGTTTGTGATATTGGCACTTATATAATAATTTTTTGGAAACAGGATGCTGCAAAATTTAAGTTTGATATAGGCTTGCTTGTGATAAATCCTATTGTTATGTAAGAGTGACAGGTGTGTGGTGTGCTACTCATATGCATTGTGTTGCATGTCTTGCTTTGTGATATATTTAATGAAATGTAATAGTGTTGCTATATTTTAATTAGAAAATCATATTGAGAGTCTTAGAAATTTGTAACATTAAAGAAGTATTTCAGTTAAAGGCTTATAAACTGATATATCTTACTATAATTTTTTTGTATAATTTATGTTTTTCTACAAGTTGATTCTTATCCATTTATTAAAATGCTATAGATTATAATCAAATATTGTTTTAAGTGTTTTCCATTGTTTACTGAAATTGTTAACAGGCTTTTCTTGTTTCCAGAATAATTTGTCTTATGGTGATAACAAGGAGGACTTTAGTGATCTACCTCCCAATCAGAGGAAGAAGAAACTGCAGCAGAAAGTGGAAGAAATATCAGCAAAAATTCAGCAGGAAACTGCCGCAAGGTATCACAAATTTCCATTAAAATTTGGCTCCGCATTAGTGCTGAAAACAACAAGTGGTGCTACATAATGGCACAGACTTACTCGCTGTATTAATGGCTACATGATAATATTTTAAAAACTCTTTCAGAAGCCAGAAATTCCAGAACAAGTTCTAATTGGTTTCCTATTATTTACAGTCTGGAATAGCTTTTGGTTTTCCCACACTCTTCCGTCTGCTGTCTATCAGTGCCTAAAACACTCACCATGGCCTCTCATATACTGCTTCTCTGGGGGCATTCCCAGTTATGAGTACCTTCGTGTTCAACAAACGTTGCAAAGGCCTATCTCAACTCTAGAATCTATAACATATCGTAAATTCTTGTCCCTGAGATTGTATCATAAAATTTGAACTAAAGCAAGATAAAAACTTAGATTCAACCCCCCTCTCCCACCCACCTCCATCCTCAAAATTTTACTTATGATTTAAGGATATGCTAGTGAAAAATAATTTTTTGTATAATGTTTTTATTGAGGAAATAATGTCCCCTTCCCTGCGTGCCAAAAAAAAAGGAAGTTAGGAAAATTAAATTATGATTTTAAGAATATCATAGAAGAATGTCACCCCTTTTTATTTTCAAATTTTCGTTGCAAAATTGGGATCCACTTTTGAGAAAGTCATTTCAGTTTTTCTCAAAAAGTGTGATATTGAGCTCATTATTACAAAAAATTTTGAGTTTTCGAGAAACTTCATAAGAAATCATTTGAATGAAGCCCGTGTACTCACAATTGCGATAAATTATTAAGAAAAAAAATGTACTTTTTGAAAAATCAGAAGTTTACATCGAAATGCCATTGTAGCCTATTTTTAAATGGATTTAGCTTTCAAGATAAAAAGTATAAAGAAAAATCTTGAAGCCTTTTGGAGAATAACCTGTTTTTAAAATTACCCATTTTTTCACTCAAAATTATGTGGAAAGTACTCATAGTTTTAAAGAAAATATTTATAACCTTCATTAAAGAACTTATTTATATGTTTATATATTCATGACTTAAAACCCAATAATTAAAGACTGGAAAATGTTGATTTTATAAAATTTTGAATATATTGTTTAACTACCATAAACTAACTATGTATCTTTTTGGAATTATTTGTTGATAATTCTGGAATTTCAACTCCAGTTATAGTGAACCCAGGGTTATAGTGAACTTAAGTAACTTGTTCTGTTTCACTTACATTGAAAATTAGCATAAGAAGTTGAAGTTATAGTAAACCTGTACCTCAGCTGTTGTACACATAGGAAAATACATTATGGAAATTAATTCCTCCTGGAAAATAATATATCACCTTAGTTCCACAAATTCCAACACCAGGCAGCTTGGAAAAAATGTTGTTTGCCAAAGGTCATTACAGAAGAAGTCTCCTTTGAAATGAAGGTAGCAGACCTGGAATGGGCACGTAATTGCTGACCTTATGTTACTCTGTTTTATTGTGGGAAAAAAAAGCTTTGTCCTGCATGGGCTAAAACTGGCGGTGGTAACGTGTGTTTACTTGCTCCAGTTTCAAGCTTGGTGAACCCTCAGTCTTCAGAGGGACAAAGCATGTGGTGTTCCATGTAGGCGACAGGAACTGCACAACTACCACAGCCCCACAGGCTGATGCAAACCCCCCCGCCACATGGAAAAGCAATCAGTTTCATTAGCTACCGAAAGGATCTCATGTGTTATTAGGCAAGTAACGGGGCCATCGGAGATTTGGACAATGTTCCAACCGTGGAAGAGTCATTGAAGGAGTTCAATACTGCATTACGATACTTAGAGACAGTGGACAACGCAGAATCTAGTGTAATGAGTGTAAGAACTCTGGAGAAGGGTATAGAGAAATTAATAATGACAAATTTGCAAAGCAAACAATTGAAAATCATTAATTTTAAAGAACAAATAAGGATAATGAAATTGTCAGTTTGTGCTGTTAATATATTTGGTTTTTGTATCTCAATATTTAAAAAATCAAAAGTTGTGGAAGAATTGTATTTAATTTTGAAATTATTGGATATAGTGAACCAAAAAAGTTAGTCCCCAGAAATTCACTGTAATTGGAGTCAAAGTGTATAATGTTCAATATAGAATCACACAAAAAATTATAATCTTTATTATAATACTACTTATTGAATGAAGAGTGTTTACAACAAAATCAAATTATTGCAATTGATTTTTTTGTATTCTTTCTGCCCACAGGGATGGTTTGATGAAAATGAAAGGTGTTTATGAACAGAACTCTGCTCTTGGGGATCCCATGTCCATTGAGGGTCAACTCAATGAAAGCAGCCACAAATTGGACAAGTTAAAGCAGGAGTTACAGAAATACCAAGCTTTCCTAGATGAAGCTATGGAAGGTATCTCTAACAACCGTGCTGGACCAGGCACTCACCAACCCAACATGTCTCCATCCGTGCCTAGCCGGCGTAAAGGACCTGCGCCAGGTCATCACGTCAATGGTGGACACTTACATCGGCATCATAGGTTGGAATCACTAATAAGTCACACTCCTCTTTTCAACTTAATTTCCTTTGAGGATTTTTTGTAATGTTGAATAGCTTTGATCAGATATTTTTATTTTGAAGATACATATTTAGGTTCATGCATTCTTAAATAGCAGTTGATTTGTGGAATATTTGAAGTTAGAATTATGGAAGAATTGATAATTTTCACGAACAAAAACTGCAAACACACAATCATTTATATAGTATTTATTTACCTACAGGCTATAAGCTCAAACACAAAATATGTTATTTTAACAGTATAATTTTCAAGTATAAAATTTATTTAGGAGTATGGATTTTAATTTTTGCTGGTATATACTTCCTAAATTTAATCACCTTAATAGTTGTTAGTTCTTATAGTAATACAGAAACTTCCTTTGAGAACCATATGGGTTTTCAGCGTCTCAAAGAACTTGAGTTCAGTATAATTTTATTAATTTATGTTGAAAAATAGCAAAAACATTAGAAATGTTTGAAGTAATTTATTGTTATTCTACAGGAACAGTGGTGGTTCAGGGGGGGAGGAAGAGTCATTGAGTCGATCAGCATCTGACTCAAGTGTATCTAATCCAACAGTAAATCACAAACAGTCTGCGCCTGGCACCCCTCTTCCTTCTCATGGGTAAGTGAAGAAGAACGAGAGAAAATTACAAGTTTGAGCAAAAACATACCTCCATAAATATTCAAGGGCAATGCCAAATAATACTTTATAAAAGTGTAATTAGAGATTCTGATATGGAAGGATTTTGTTTTCCCTATTTGGATTCAGAATTTTAAATGCAAGTAAACATTTTAAGTTTTTATTAAGTTTTCTGTGATGGAAATTTGTAGTTTTAATATTAATGGGTGGACTTCAATCCCTTCAGGGTTAAATATGTAGAATATGTTTTATGCTATATATTTAGTTTGTGTTCATAATGTTTGGGTAGGCATATCATGATTATACCTCATTTGTGTTCATGGAAGAAGTTTTCTTTTAGTTAATTTGGTGGGAATTTTAACATAAATACCAACATTTTCTTGGAAATGTGAAAATAAACAGATTTCAAAGGTGTATTAGCATGATCTGTTTTCGAAGCTACTCAAATTTGAATTATCGCATGAAATAAAATAACACTCGAATGGCAAAATTTAACATCACCTTCTTAATTTTGAGGGGGCGTTAAGCTCTATGTAAGCCGAAGGATGTTTGAAAGGAAACACTCCACATGGAAGAATTTTGAGATTAGATGCTGTATTTTGCTAACAACCATGTATAACCAACACACAGCTCCTCAAACAGCCCTGAGTCTGGTCTGGGCACATCGCACACATCGCTGCCAGATTCGGACCCAGAGCAGGATGCACCGCCTGCAGGAGAGGACTACATTGATGGAGAGAGTTTACCTGCCCTTGGCGTATGTAAGGCGCTCTACCCGTTTGAAGGTAATAATTACATTTATATACTTGTTTATGTTACTTTTCCATGAGGCATTGTTGAAGCTCTTGACATTAATTAATAAATTATTTGTAGAATTTGTTGCATAAAATAAAATGAAAAGAGAGAATTTATTTACTAATTCTTAGAGTTTCTTCAGATTTTCTAATTGTACATATGTTAGTAAGTAATATTTCTCATCATTAGTTTTGAACTTCACTGTTATATATGGTTTACATTACACAATGCTCTTTGTTATTATTTGTGATTTCAGCAAAATTTAACATGCAAAGTTAATTCACATATTATTGTAGTAAAAGATAGTCATGCAAACCCTGATTATTCTCAATTTTTTCAACTAGTGTTCATTAATAATATAAGAGTGCAAATGAATTATCACTAAAATGTGAATTCTGAATAATTGGATGACTTATTAAGTGAAACCAGGATTGATGCTATTTTGATATTTACTTTTAATTAGAATGCAAAACTTATTGTTCTGCCTCCTCAGATTCAATAAAGAATGAATACAATTAATTAACTTTTTAAATGTTGTAAATGTTCAAAAATTTCAATTTGTCTAACATCAAATTTTTTATTTAAAAGTTACAGTTGATCAAAAAAGATGAATAATTACAGTCTTCTTGTTGTAACCATTCTGTACTGCACCTGAAGAGGCTGAGCTAAGTTTTGCGAAACATTCTAATTAACTTTAAAAATCAAAATAACATCACATTAAAAACATCAAGTATCTGACTTTTAAACTTGGCTTATCACCAGTTTCAGGTTGTCACATTTGAACAAATTTCTTACTCAAACAAAATATTAAAACATACATAAATACACTGTACAACTGTGTAATAGCAGGATTGAATTACCCTAAAAGGTCTTCCAATTATTCAGAATTAACATTTTAGTGATAATTTATTTGCATTCTTATATTATTGAAGAAAACTAATTCAAAAACGTTACCATTCCAATCAGCTGTGCAGAATTATGGCTATGTAAGCCAGCTGCGTTTACCTGCCTTTACCACCATAAAGCTAGGTTTATGTGCCTATGTAAAAAGTCCTTCAAATGGTTGATTGTGGCACAAGACAAAAATTCCATGAGAGAGCGAAGTTGAGATCCCTGTTGATGTGATCTTCATTGAAAAACGTTTTGAAAAACCTTTTTGAAGTAAATAGGGTTTCTAGTTTATTTTGATAATGCATGAAAGAGAATTTCATTATGTAAATTACAATTCACGTTCATACCTTCATTTTCTGTAATGTTATTTCTAATTATTTAAGGCTATCATCCATTAAATTTAGAATTAGAAAAATACAAAATTTACCCTATTACCATTTTCCTTACTATCTTCTATTTTCAAATACATTAAATGAACAATGTTAATTGTATTAATTGTATCATTGTGTAATTATCTTAATTCTTGTTCAAGTCATATGGATCTTGTTGGTTTAAGGAAAGACCTTCAGGAAATAATCAGAAGAATTAAGAATAAAAACATAATGTATAATTCTAAAATGGTGGTGGAAAAAGAAGTGGATCTTTCCTACTTACCCTATTTCGAAATGGATATCTTGGAGCATTCTATTTGAATTTTCTATCAATTTACAATGAATTGTGTTCCCATTAGTTACTTAAGACATTTGATTCTCTGTTGCAGCCACTAGTGAAGGATCCATCCCCATGTATGACGGTGAAGAGTTGTTCATCATTGAGCTTGACCAAGGGGACGGTTGGACACGTGTTCGTCGGCAAGCAGATGGTGAGGAGGGATTTGTGCCCACATCGTACATTGAGTGTTCACTGTACAGTTATAATAACTGTTAAAAATCCAGGATGGTTGAAATTGCATTCATTGGCCATACCGCTTCTTCTGCTGTGATGGCTCCTCTCGCCGAGCCAGCCTTCTCACCAGCTTGTTCGGGGAGTGGTCAACCTGTTGTCAGATAGAATCAATTCTTTTGTTTTTAATTTATTTCTCTGAGCTTCGGGAAGAAGAGAGCTCTTGAAGCTCGTACTTGTCTTGAGGTGACATGTAAGTAAGTTAAGACAGCTGGAATGAGTGTCTGTCTTGTGGAATGATCCTCGCTGCACCATTTCTTGAATAATGTAACACAGCTGTCAATGTGTACATTTGTGAAAGCTGTGACAAGAATGGTTCACAGATTGTTATGATTTATATGTTAAATATCAGATAACAGGTTAGTAATAAGAGCATTTCTTATGGATAGAGACAAGGTTAATGTTTCTATGTGAATTTTTTAGAAAAGTTGTAGTTTCTAAAGAGAAATACTTGTACAGTGTATTTATGTATGTTTTAATATTTTGTTTGAGTAAGAAATTTGTTCAAATGTGACAACCTGAAACTGGTGATAGGCAGAATTTGTAAGTCAGATACTTGACCGTGGAGTTCTGTTTATGTCCAATACAGGATGAACAGTTAGTTCATGCAGAAATAATAAGAGAAAGATTTTCTTAAACTACTGCAGCATTATGGTACACAATCATGTGTTGTTTGAATGTGTTACAGCAGAAAAGTTTGCACGATCAAGAAGACCCTTCCTATGCTAGCGTATATTAGACATAATTGTTTACAAATGTGAAGAATTACTGCAGAACAGGGTTGTGAGATACTGTAGTTTTTAGAAAAAAGTGTACCATAATCATCAACTCTTTAGCAACTGCAAAACATAGCTAAATGAAGGGTACTAGACAAGAAGCTTTGTTATTCACATTGGACTCAGCTATGCTTTTATATATGATGAGTGAATTAATTTTATTGTCTAGTAAATAGGGATGGAGAAATACCCCCTCTTCCCCCTTTTTTTTGAAGTGTTGCTTCAGTTATTAGTTTATTACTGAAATAGTTGTATACAATATTCAGAGGTCTTTCCATAAATTTGTTGTTGTAAGGGGATTTCCACTTAATTGTTTATCAAAGTATCGTTTACATTGACGTTGTGCAAATTATTTACAGTCATAAGTAAGGAAAAAAGTATAACATTTTAATTGCATGATTTATTTTTCTAATTGCACAATATAAATAATATTTTTTGGTCTTTGCTTTAGTTTAAAAGGAAAATTCTTCTAATGGTGTTGAGAATTTCATGTATAACAGGTGCAATATTTGCATTGGAATTAAAGGATTTTGAATGCCTTTGCTTGCTTACTATTTCAGGTATAGAGAAGCAAAGCAAGGACCAGGAAATATATGATTTTGACTATTTTCTTATTCAGAAAAGTGCTTTATTGTAGTTTGCTTCAGCTCTTAATTTTGTATGAATGTGACATGAACGGTTTCTAAAGAAATGTTTATAGAAGTCTTTAAATAAGTGATAGTGAAAAGTTACTTGTATGTCATTTTATGTATCGAATATTTTTTTACAATTTATGAACTAAATATAGTAGCTCTATTTTTGTTACAAATTGATGGCTTATTTTAAAACATTTTTATTTTCCTTTTGCTGAAATGATTTGATACAAAAAAAAAAATAGAATACATCATATTGTATATGTTTTATTCTTAACTTGTACAGTTGAAAGTTATTTCATATAATACAATTGTTTCCTGCAATTTTCAGTAAAAGGTTTAGACGTTAATGCTCGCATCATGTGAAATTATATTTATATCTTTACAATGTGATATTTGCGTATCTTTTTAATAGTTACTTCTCTTGTATTTATTACAATAATGAAATATTGAGTGAATGGTGTATGGGAGTTCCTTGGTTCTCTTTTTTTCTTTCCTGTGTAATCACTTCCCTTTTGTAAGAATAGTATTGATTAGCAGTACAAGTTCATTTCTAATAAGAGACTCATTGATTCAAATAAGAAAAGTAGCTTGCTCTATGCTGACACCTTTTTCTTTTTAAATAATATTTTCTGAACATGTTAAGTAAGTAAATTCTACAAAGCAATTGTGTTAAGTAGAGTGATCAACCATTTATGCTTCAGGGAGTTACATTTTGTGTTATAAGAGTTTTGTTTTACACTCACACACACACACCTTTTTTTTTTCTTTCTTTCTTTTTTTCTTTTCTTTTTCCTCTCTCTCCTTCCTTGACAAATGATGAAAATATGTATATCATAAGGAATTGTGCATATTGTAAATTTATTCTATTATCTATTTATGTCAATGTAACAAGTTAATTTTTTACACTCCTTTTTGTTGTGTGCTCACATTTTTGTTTTCTCCATCTCTAAAGCATAACAGAAATAGATATTTTATAAAAAGATTTTCATTTTATGAAAAGTTAAGTAGCTCTAGTCCAGTTTAGTATTGAACTGCTTCTTGTCCACTGAAAGGAATTATATCATCAATTAATTATAGTCATTGTTTCATGATGGCAATCATTGAAAACTTGTACATAACCGACAACACAGATTGCAAACCATGGGCTATACTGCTTTGATCAGACTTCATAGTAGCAGGTGCAGACAGTTATTTGTGAGAAGATACCACAGGAATTACCTGTAAATATAAGATTTTTTTTTTTTTTTTTTTTCCATTTGTATTATGTTTGTATTCAGTGTAAATAATTATTGTGTGGTGTTCTTTTTATATCACTAGTTTATTTTAATTTCCTTGTCCTAAAAATAGCAAGTTTGTATAATTAAATGTTTTGCTATGGACTGCTTTTCTAATAATATGAACTAATGCATTGATGCTGATAGAGACGTGAATGTGAAAAATTTGTGCCTTGCCAGAAGAATGGCTTGGCAGCTTATTATGTGGAGCTATTGTTTTGGCAATCAACTCTCATCTTTGTACAATTTTTATGCAGTGTATGGAAGAATGTTCCTAAACAGACAGTGTGACATTGGTGGCAAATTTCAGTTCTCAGTTTTACTCGTTAAAATATTCTTTCTTTCAATATGCTGATGATAATTTTGTCAACAGAAGTAAGAAACCCAAACATGTAATTTCATGACAAGTAGTAATTAATTCTTAACATTACATGTTTTTCAACTTACAAATTTGATGACATTAGTATGAAATATTGCCATTCTTTACCATATGAAGGGTGTTTTCTTTTTTTTTTTCCTATTATCTTAGCTGTTCACAACTTCCCTGCTACTTTGTTATCTGCTGCAATATAGTCGTATAGTTGTCAGCCTTATAAAGAACACCACAGATTCTTATAAAGAAATGTGAAGAAATAGCTTTTTGCTGTGTTATGGTGACTTTTTTATTATTAGCTATCAATGAATATTGTAAAATTGTTCAGACTTATTCGATCCTGTAAGTGTAAAATAATTGAAAGTATAACTAACATTAAGGTGTACATGTTTCTTCTTGAGTTATTTTGTATATATGTGGAGGAAGTTTTTCTTTTGTAGCCGTTTTATTGGACGATGATGATTTTGATTCCTGGAGGAGAGTTCATGCTTGAACTTAGTTACATTTCTTGTTAATGTCATCATTTTGTCTACTCTTTATAAAGATATGATTCACTTGTACTGATACTTTTCTCTCACCATATGCTTTGAGAAGTTTTCCATGTATTGTATCTTAATAAAAAGTAATTGACATTAACTGAAGACTTGTGTAAAATGAGCGTGTGGCATAGAAGCTTGTACAGAACATATATTCTGCAACGTTTCATTCACATTGAACTGCATGTTTAATGAATTCATGAACTTTATTTTCAGATGTTCTATTTTAAATAGTTTTATATATATATACGTGTAACATCTCAAATTTATGTGTGAAAGCATGTTTTTGTATGACATTCAGACTTAATGGAGTATGATCGTAAATAGAATTAGATGTTGAAATTGCGTGGACTGCTTGGATGTGACAGCAACTCCTTGTACCATTCTCATTTTCAATTCATTTGAAATGAAATGAATTGAATATCTTTCGCCTTGAACTTGGAAATTAAGTAGAGAAAACACAAATAATTCTAGTTTTTCCTCTGTAGTGCAACAAGCGGAATGTAGACTACAATTAGCTTTTTGGGCTGATTGGTGTAGTATTTCAAAATTAACTATCCTTTTGATGGGGTGAGATGGTTGCTCAATAAATATTATTTAATAGTTTAGATATTGGATAATTTAGTTGTCACTGTTCAGGTTTGTTCACGTTTGCATTATGTGGGCAGGAAAGTGTGTTAACAAACGTCTTGCATATGAAACATTTTGGTCTTGAATTTCTTTGTTATCAATTTTATTTAATTATTTCCTTGATGTAATAAAATATGTACATGCAAGCTATCACACATTACTGTGTAAAATTGGCATAAAGGTTGTGTAATTCCAAATTATTTGTATATTATTACTTAATTCTTGAGTACATGTTTTCAATTTATTGTAGTAACTTAAAAAATTGTAGTTACGTATATGATCATTCCGTATACTTGTGTATTCCAATAATGATGCATAAATAATCCTGTCAAAGCCATCTGAATGAAAGTGCCAATTTGGGATAAAGTGTAAGACTAAATGACAATTAAAGTTAGTGTTTATTGGACTATTTATGTGTTGTTATTTTATGTATACAATTGTTCTAAGATAAAAGTTCTGACCTTTCTCCTGTTTTACTCTGATGTGTATTGTTAAAAGATCTCAAGTTTTCTTTTCACTTCCTTCATTCCCTCTGATTTTCAAGTTTTTGTGATCTGTTACAATATGAAAATATTTAATTTGATTATATTTTTGCATGTGTTTATTTAACATTTCAGATTTAGATGTTTATTTTATTTCTTCACACAGCAAACTTCTTTAAACATTTGAAAGAATAACTAGTGATTCTGAACTATAGGTGGGGAGAACTCTGGGAAGACAGAGATACAAAATATTTTAGTCCTTAATGAAATGTGGGTGTTATTACTACAGGTTAGGAGTGTTATCGAAGTGGAACCAAGATATTTAATTTGGACGAGGCATTTAGAGGAAGAATTACTCGCTAGATTTCTTGAATGGTGACCTTGCTTCCCCCACTCTGGCACAATAACAGTTGAAGGCAAAAGTTCGCAGCAAGCACTGATGACAATATTCCAAACACATCTTCACTGGCGCGAAATATAAACTATTTTATTTTGAACTTCTGTCCATTATTTTCTCCAAAAAATCTAAAGGAATTAGCAAATCAGATAATGATCTATCACAGGAAATATCTTGAACTCGTGAGAAAGTAAGAACGCAAATTATTGAGAAAGTTCCGAAGGCATGGCTGATTCTGCAGAGATTGGCATTGCTTCATAAAAATTTAGAGGCCGATTTTGTAACTAATATCCCATCGTTCAAGAAAAGGTGGTATGCTCAGCATTTTATCAGTCACCATAAAATCTCATGTTTTATGTGAAAATGTATGACATTACTGCGATAGTAAACACATGAGACTATACCGAGCATCCAAAAGGAGAGTAATATTAATTTTAACAATGAAATTTAATGTATTATATACCATATAAAGTAATGTATACCATTTGAATTGTATAATTGTAAAGAACCTGTAACAAGTATTATACTTCAGTTTCTGGGTCAATGACCCCCATCTCGATCAGGTCCAGTCCAGTTTCCCTGATCCTCGAGCAAATACTAAGATGGCCCCTTGTTTTACTTCAGGACATAAATGTAACTTCAAATCCACTTCTCCCCATAGCACGTCACACATAGTTTTTAACTTTTGGACTAGATAATATTCGTATACCGTGATAAACAGGAACATTGATGTATTAAATTTTATTGTACCCGATAAGTAAGAGGCTACTAACCCAGATGGTTTTTCGTCGATGTATTTTTAACATCCATGTCGCATCACTACTTCCAATAGTGACACCTACAGATTGTCAGTAAATATGATAACCAAAGAAGACTCATGTGGTGGAATGCCAGGAAAAAGATGTTAATTTACTTAATACACGTTTTTTAATTGCACTGATAATAAAGTCAATGAATTATGGATGTTAATGGATTATTTACTTGGAAACAGCGCCGTCGAGACCGTGGTGCGAGAGGTGCATTGAACCTACGAGTTACTAAACTACGTAGAAGTACATTCACCATACATTCAAAAAGTTTCATCACATGAAATAAACATAACAATTTATAAGGTAATAGTGTTCTGTCCGTCCTTCCTTCTGTCTGTGGTCAACGCTAGCGCCTAAGCTGTTCTGTTGAAAATTGATATTACCTCATCGATCTGGAGGAACTCGAGGCCATGCGTGTTTGAAATGGAAATTTCGATTTTTCGCAGTACTTTACATGAAGACAACAACAATTTCAAAATTTTCTCAAAATCTGCCTCAATTTGTATGGAACTTTGTCTTTAGATAGCGAACTCTTCAAAGAATGGCACAGATGTTATTTCGTTAAGTTCCTGATTTTTCGAGAATTGAAAGTTCGACATTTTTTTTGCGCACGAAAAAAAAAGAACGGCAGTATAACTGATCCATGATACTGTAACAAGGGAATGCATGAAAATGTAGGCCAAACAAGGTTCATGGTTAATGTTTCGTAACTGAGATTGTTGGAACGAAACGTTGCATCGCGAAGGGTGCCTTGCTGCACACCACTGAATGCAGATTGTTGAAAGTGCACGGCTAGGAGTTGCCGAGCCCAAGCGACCTTTATGGAGGAGCAGGCTACCTAGTCGGCGAGGTTGGAGGATCCAGCCTACTGTCATGACGTATCCGGGCGATGCTGATAGGAGAAGGCCTGCGGAGTCGGCTCATAGCTCCGCGCGCTCGGCGCCGACGGGGTGGAGTTCCTGCGGGAACTCCTAAATGCGTGCCTAGCGCTAGGATACTTCCCCAGAGCGTGGAAAATCGCGACAGTATCCATGATACCAAAGCCTAGCAAAGACCTACTTCTGCCGAGCGGTTACAGACCAATTAGCCTCCTCTTACTTCTTGCGAAATCTTTCGTGCGCCTGATCCTGGAGCGCTTGCAACGGGAAATACGGCGTCTTAAGCTTCTTAGAGATAAGCAATTCGGATTTCGAATTGGTCTAAGTTCCGCGCAACAACTGACGCGGCTATGTACCGAGATCGGTCTCTCTCTCAAAAGACGGCAGAACTTGCCGGTGTTTTTTCTAGACATGCGGTCGGCATTCAGTTCTGCATGGCACGAGGGGGCGCTCGCGTGTCTTGCGGACATTGGAATCAGCGACTGCCACGTCAGGCGATTACGCCAGCTACTTGACAGACGATTCAAGGTTCGCGTCAATGGCGTACATTCGGCCCTAAGACGAGCCGCAGCCGGCGTGCCGGCATTCAACATTGCGGGCTCCTAATGTTCGCGGATGATTTCACTTACTATGCGAAATCCGCGGACAAAAGGACATCGGTGAGATATCTGAATGATTGTCTCGCCGAGCTTCCCAAATGGCTGAGCCATAAAAAGCTTGCCCTCAACCCTGACAAGTGCGTAGCCGTCAACTTTATTCGACAGAGGGCCGACCCTGATGAAGTCGTGAGCTTCTTAGGAACGCATCTATCCTGGCAAAAGACGGCCTGAATAATTGCCTGAACCACTCTCCTACGCACTCCTTCAAGCCCCCGAACTACATCCTGCCCTCAAACGCCGCCTATTCACCGCCTGCGTGCGGTTCATTTGGACGTATTCGACGGCGGCACCTCACTCCACCCTCCGTCCGTTTCGCACGGCGGAAAACCGTTCTGCGCGTCTCGCGGCGTACCCTCACCTCTCTCCTCCCCTTCCCAATAGAAACCCTAGAAACACAGAGTTCGGAGTTCTTGCCGAAGCTCCAAAGGCGGTCAGTAACGGCGCTTACAAGGGCTCTGGGTCCGTAGGCGCCGCGCATCCTGCGCGACTCAGTTCTGGTGCGCAATTCTACTTCCACTAATTATGCTGGTTGTTAATCCTTATCAACCTGGTTCCACACTCAGCGGCCACACTCATGTCGACTGCACTTAACAACGACAATAATTCTCTTGACGCAGCACAGCCCGTCGTGCTTCCCTCGAGGCCTTCCGCGCACATACTATCGCTCGCCTCGGCCGTTTCCCCCCGATTTGACACGTTGGTGGTGCGGCGGCGGCGTTACTGGCTAAATGCAACTCCACGTTACTTCTTATTTTAATTTAATAATTGGTGATCATTTTTATTTGTTCTAATTACAGAAACGTTCTTCGTTTTTCAATATATATATATATAATATATATAAAATTATATACTATATATATATATTATATATATATATATATATATATATATATATTGAATCACTAACTCCGCGCTGCCCCACTTACCACCTTCACGCAGCACGCCATTTGTGCAGCACGGTTATCAAGATTTGCTGCGTGAAAGCGAGCTTAAATTCTCAGGAAGCAAGGATCTTTTGGGTGAGAAAGGTCTGAACCTCGACACAAAAAATTGCAATAGCACTGTGAAACAAACGAGCGTATAATTTACCCATAAAATTTTTGAAATGGCCACAATTACACGAAACAAAAATCACACTTTACAGCGAAATAGAAACACGAATAATAGAACCTACAATACACAAATTCTAACTTCCCATCAAATTACAAAAGAACTGTAAACAATTAAACGCACCTTCACGTCAAGTACCAGTACAAGGTATGGCTCCTTTTTTTAAAAGCACCTCAATAATTGGACATTTAATTGCTCACTATTACGCTTAAGTCGCTATCCAACAAGTTTGTTCATCGCTTCAACTGTAAACATCTTTGAGTACTATTTTCCAAGGATATATTCATATTTATTAAACATTTTAATCATTTTGGCCAATTAATTCATTTTTGTTTGATTTAATCTTTTTTTTATTGTATGTTGTGTAGGGGCAGGGTGATGCAGAACAACTACTTCGCAAACTCATATTTGGTTACTGTTTTGGTGCGCAAATTCATTGGGAGGGGGGTGCGCCAGAACATACAATTGTTATTCTACTGTTTTTAACACACTAGTTAGACATTTGTGTTATGCATGGAGACTAAAACAAATCATTAAATGCTATATATTGTGTAGCATTAGAGTATCAGATTACATTTAATGAAAAGCAGAAAGATAGCGGCTGCGATGCAGCCTTTTTTGTCGAATTGACGACAATCATAGAAAGGATTTTGTCAAAACAATGGATGAAAGCAAACATTCATGAATGTAACTATATTAAATGATTACTTTCAGAAACTTTCTTCAAAGTCACAAGAAGGATTAAGAAAAATATAGTTACATTTTAATGCCTACTTTGCCCTGCCTATTTCTAGTTTTCGTGCCTATAAAACCTGCGCTTAACTAATGATACACATCTCATCTCTCTTATCTGTAGTGTTCCACTACATAAATATACACCGGCTAATACGCGGTAAGACGAGATGTACTAGTTTCTTAAAATGGCAAAAATACGTTCAGAAGAAAAATTGATTTAAAAATTCTATAACCTCTCCTACTTTAACAAAATGAATACTTGATGATATTTTAATGAATACATGAACTCTTTTGATGAACTTATATAATGAATAGTACACTCTTGGAGACATAAAA